GGGCGCTTCGGGGGAGCTGCACCGACAGGAAAAGCCACCCTGCGGGCTTCTTTGAAGCAGTTTCTTCCTGGGCTGGTGGAGGAGCGAGAGAGCGACTGAGAGAGGAACGAGGTGGGAGGAAACCGAAGCCGCTGAGCCAGAGAGCAGGACAGGCTTTGGTTGCTTCCTCCCTCCCCTTCTCTCCTTTGTGTCCTTGATCCCCGATCCCAGCAGCATTCACCAAAGGCGAAGAAAGCCGCCATTTTTAAAAAAATCTTTTATTTGCGGCCCGGTACAGAGTGCTCCACGGACCGGTACCGGTCCGCGGCCCGGTGGTTGGGGACCCCTGGTTTACACAATGTCAGCAGATTTCCCCCATAATCTGGGTCCTCGTTTTGCTGACCTTGGAATGATGAAAGGCTGAGTGAACCTTGAGCCTGTCAGGATTGAACTCCAGGCTATGTGAAGAGTTAAGTTTGCAATATTACATTTTAACCACTGTGTCACCAGGGCTCCAATGATTACACGTTATCATTACTGTTTTGCATATATACAAATGTATTTAAATTTGTTCCATTGTATTTCTAATTCAGATTTGATGTTAGACCAGGTTTGATTTGAATACCACAAAGACAACTAGTTAAACTTTGCTTTTTAAAGGCAGAAAAGGCTGGTATTTGCGCTGTGAAACATCGGGATCCACAAATACCTATCATATGTTTCATACCTATCATGCTTTTTGTATTGCTTTTATATTTTCCTTGGGCTCTAAGAAGAGTTATGATGTAGTCAATTTTAATTCTTTCAAATACACAGTATTAAGCTGACTTATTATCACATTTTTGCAAGCTTTTTAGCTTAACAATCTCTTTATCAGGCAAAGGACTGGAGGGGTAGAGCAAAGAGGAAAAATCTGTCCCAAAATAGAGAAGAGGGAGAAGCTTTCAATCTCTTCCTGGGGACTCTGAGATACAGAGGAAGAGATACGTGGTTTTGTTCTGCCAAAGCTGGCTTGAAATAAGAAACAAGTCAGTTGTAAATGTTTCAATTGAGGCAACATAAATTCTAGCTGTTTGTGTGCTATGCAAAATAATTTATTAAATAATTTATTCATTTATAAATCCTACCTTTATTATTTTTGCAAATAACTCAAAGTAGCGAACACATCCAAATACACCTTTCTCCTCCTATTCCCCCCCCCAATCACAACCCTGTAGGAAGGTTAGGTTGAGACAGAGAGAGAGTGGGCCAGAGCCAGCTTTCATGGCTAAGGCAGGACTTGAACTCAGTCTTTTGCTTTCTAGCCTGGTGCCTTCACCATTAGACCAAGCTAGCTCTCAAAATCATGATGTGGAAATAATAGTAGTTGTGCTCACATCTGGTTGGGGAAGACACTTTCCCCCCCTCCTTCTCTGCACATTCTTGCCTCTTGAATTTCAGCCTTCCCAGAAAGCTGTCAAAGGGGACTAGTGAAATCTCTCTATATATTTGGTATTACTGTATTGGTCAAAACAGAGTTGAAACTATTTTTGATCCTTGGAAATCATTTATTGACTGTGAATAACATAAAGAGGGCACCTATTGGGAGCTGAATGTTAGTGATTACTAAAGAATGTGAGTTGGGGGCAGAGATGGATCGTTTGTAGAGATTGGCGAAGGGAACTTGGAGTTGCCCACCTAAAAATACATTTCACCAAGTAATACAGGCAAAGCAAAATTCATTTATTAGGTGGATAAAGTCAAATCTATAAAGGCAAATCTATGGATTACATCAGGGATCCCCAACCTTTTCGATGCCGTGGCCCGGTTCCGGCATCAGCTGGGTGCCGTGGCCCGGTACCGGCGTCAACTGGGCGCCGCCATCTTTTTATGACGAAAAAGCGCTTCCGGTGAGCTTTCTACCCGGAAAAGCTCACCGGAAGCGCTTTTTTACCAAAAAAAGATGGCGGCGCCCAGCAACCAGCGGCCCGGTAAGGCTTGTTCCGCGGCCCGGTACCGGTCCGTGGACCGGCGGTTGGGGACCCCTGGATTACATTACTCTTTCCCAGATGGGTTTATTTCTTTAAAACTTGCAAAGGTATTAACTTTGGATTCAAGTGTATTGCAAGTGACTTTCAAAATCCTCTCTCTATTGTTTAGTGCTGAAGTGACAAGTTGTCGCATACCAAAAGAAATGGCCTTGGTCAACATGTTTTCCAAAAGTCAAAAAGAGGCCTAGATTGTCATGTTCAAAATGCTAATATCATCTTTTAAAATGCTAATAACGAAGCTGAAAATTCCAGGTAACTATATTAGCATTTTAGCATGGAATCCACATCTCTTTATGAAGTTGGAGAAACCAGGTTTCCTTTCAATCAAAGCCATTTCTCCTTTGGATATGCAAGAATTAAACTTTTCTGCAAATAAACAATAGATAATATATCCTGGAAGTCCTGGAAGAATTAAAGTCTTAATGTTGCCGAGTTTGAAAAACACCGTTTTTCAATTCTTTGGTTTGCAGCCTGTGAGCTACACACGAGTGGTTGAGAAATTGGGTGGCTTTGGAAATGTGAATTATAAATTACGCATAAATAAAACTAGTCGCTCAAGGAAGTAAGGCTGGAAGGAAATACTCCCTATCCCTATTTCGAACATCCTTAATTACACTGATTTAATCATCCGAAAAAACAAAATGCACCAGGCTCAGCCTTTTGCAGTTCTCCCATTGGCCAATCGTTGCTAAGCGACGAGCGGAAACAAAGATGGCGGCGAAATTATGGCTTCTACCACAGACTAATGTAACTCTTCCTCCCATGTCTTTATATTAGAGGGGGAGGGGAGAAACCCTAACTAAAGATGGCGGAGTAAACTTCACTTTCCCGGGCTGCAAGCGGGCAGGGGCGGATAAGCTTCTGCTAATTTAAATAACATGGCGACCACAAAGGTTCCGCCCTCCGCTTTTTCTTAACGGCCCCTTTTACGTCATAGGAATACGTATTATGTCATCTCAACAGCGCGCGGACGTAAAGCTATAAATATTATCTTGTAGCGGTAAAACTATTTGGCCCCTCCCACCGCGTCCGAGGCTCGGTTAAGGCTTTCCTTCGGAACGCACGAGCTTCGTTCAGATGCTTAGAGTTATTTTAAATAGTGTATCAACTGAGGAAGGTTAAAAACAAAAAACAAATAAAGCCGAAGAAACTTATCAGAGCCTGGGATTCCTCCCCCTTTTCTTTTACCGACTTTTTGAATTGAGAACCGTCGGGCAATCCTTTAGGCAACTATGGAACAGTCGCAAGTAAAGGGGGCTTAGCGGGCTCCAGGCGCATGCGTAAGTGACCGAACGGCCGGGAACGCGGCTCTTCGGAAGGCAGGAGCTCGCTCCCAGCCGCGAGGCCGGCGGCTGTTTGGTTTCCCCCACAATAACCGTTCCGGAGCAGGATTTCGTGGGGAAAGGAACCCACGGTGGGAGAATTTCGGCAGTCGGAGACCCTCCTTTGCCCGTGGCTCCACGGAGGGAACCGGAAGTGCCGCCATTTTAGAGCGTCCGGAGAATCACTTCGACGCAAGCGTTAGGTCAGAGAGGTAAAGCAGCGAGTAGAAAAGAAAATGAAACGCGGGCCGATATTTCCGGCTATCAATAACCGTCTCCTTAAATTTATAATCCCGGGCGGGAAGAAAGAGCGCCGTTTGCTTCTTCCATAGGGACTCTTCGACCTCATATTATATATATATAAACAGTTAATGTGTATATAAACAATTACATAATAGCAACGCGAGCCTCTTTGTGTGGGGGTAAACGTTCAGCTTGAGATGGGCGAAGGGAACCCGGAGGTGTGTCGTTTTTTCTTGTCGTTTGCCAACTCTACGGAGCGAGCATTTCCCCTTCTCTCTCTCTCTCTGTATATATATATATAAAAATATATATAATATATGTTTTTTAACCCCCCCCTTCTTTTGGGCAGGAAGGTTTTTTTTTTTTCTGGAAGCGGAAGGAGAAGCTTCGTGCTGGAGATCGATTCCTGCCGGACGGGAAGTGAAAAGGACCCTGGGGTGTGTGTGTGTGTGTGTGTGTTTCAGGGTAACAAATTATAGAGGAGTGCGGTGGAGGGGGGGAAGGGGGAAGAAAGGAAGCGGGGAGGGGGCTTCGCGTTGCCACAAGGGGCCCGGCTTGGGCTGTAAACGCCCCCAGCGCTTTGCCTCCTTACGACCGGATCCTGGGAAATTACCTTACCGGGAGGGCGGAGGACGGCGTGGGCTCGTTATCCTCTATAATCTGGGGGTATGTTGGGTGGGGGGCGAAGGCTATTCCGGGGGGGAAAGGAGGAGGAGGAGGAAGAAGAAGAAGCGGGTGGTGGGGAAAGACGTGGCTCTCAGCAGGCGTTCATCTTTGAGCAGGGTGGTGGCTGAACGATATAAGTGGTATGTATAGAGGTGGTGGCCTGAGGAACGGGTCCCATCCTTGGATATGTAGACGGAGCCATGCTGGGGCTTATGGGGGTGGGTGGGTGGGTGGGAGACCCGGAGGTAGCCTACCTCTGCCGCGGGGGGGGGGCGGGGGGGGGGGGGAGAAGGAGGCCAGCGCCCCCTGGTTCAGGCGGATGAGGCTTGCTAAGCTCTGATTGGGAGAGAATTTGGGGCCTCCCAAA